GTTCTCTGCCTGGAGATTACTCTGGGGAAAAAATGTCTTTCCCATTGTTTCACGCCCAGACCCTTCCCCTCCACAAGCACGAGTTATACATCGATGCGCCGACATTTTTCTCCTCTTTCACCTGATGTTAGAAAGGAGTTACTGTTATGACACAAACCCCAGAGCGTGCCCAACAAAACTTCCACAGGGACGCATTATAAAACAGCTCCCAAACTTCAGCTGGAAATCAGAAGCAGATTTAACGCTTCAATAACAACTACACTGGGGATGAATCCACCTGGTTAAACTATACTCATTATCTAACAAACAACACGGCTGTACTGTGCTAACAGACTGCTCAACGAGCCGATGTCGGCAGGAAGGTCAGCTCCGACCTCCAGCTCTCTCAGTCCTCGTACAGACGCGTCTCCGGGCAAGACGATCAATCCTAAATTGCTCCTGATGCACCGATTTGAAGTGTGAGTGACACAGAACAGGCTGGGAGCAGCAAGCAGGGAAGGAAGTGCTGCATTAAGGTGTGTGAGAGCTTGTAGTGCAGAAGCAGTAAAAGTAGAAAAGCATAATAAAACTATCAGTGCATTTACGGCTCCCTGTCATCCAAACATTAGGGGTGGGGGAAAAATGGATACTGTGTAGTATGGTGATATTTTGTTTGCTAATAATGTATGGATACAGGGACAGCAGAAATCGATATTTTGTTACAAAAAGGTTTTTGTGCTCTGACTTCAGAGCATGTTGATCCTTTTTCTGAGCAAGAATCCTGACATTCCTTCACTGTCCAAATGTGTTTAATAAACATGACAGTTTACTTATTTTAATTTAAGACATGTTTTATTTTAATTAAGTTTAAAACTTTTTTATTTAATGTAAAATTATATTTTGTTTTCATTTACTTTCAAATCCTTCAGTTGCTGAAGGGGCTGCATAGTTTTCATAAACTGCATAGTTCAGAATAGCTATAATTGTACCAGATGGTTGATTCAGTTAAGTTGGACTAGACTGTAATACAAACCGTTCAGTTTGTCAACAATAAAACTGAAATGAGAGAAAGACTGAGTGTGAGACTTTGATATTAGAGAAAATGAATATTGATAAAGTTTACCTTTATGTACAGAATCTGAATATCGCAAAATATTTTTAAAAATTGCAATAATATCGTATCGTGGGATGTATGGTGATTCCCACCTCTAATAAACATGGGTTCAATATATAAATAAAAGACAGCAAGATGGTAATGACGATGATGGTGGGGGCTTCAGTGTCTGTGGTCAGACTGGGTCTTTGTTTGCATCTAAACCTGTGAAGTTCACTGTCTCTCACACGTTGCATTTCCAACCCACCACTGTGTGAAAAGTGTCTGTGAGGTAGCTCCTACTACAGCGAGCGGCAGCAGGACGGCACATTCCTACGACTGCATGCAGACTTAAAATATGGTAAATCTAAGGACGTCTGAGCCGTGGGCACAAGACAACAATAGACTCAAGGCAGTTTAAATGACATATAATCAGTGCAGGCTGTGGGTTTGGCTCAAAATCAGAATCACTTTATAGTTCTGCCTGGTTTATTCTCCAACACAGTAACTTATTTATTCAGATACTCTGCAGGTCAGACGTGAGCTCAGCCTCAGTGTCACAGAGAGCTGTACACAGCAGAGGACTCATGAGGGACAGATTTATGCAAACCGGATTGCCACATGGAAGGAGAATAAAATCTCTTTTTTCAGGTTTAAAAAGCAGCTGCTCCGCTTTTCCAAGCAGCATCGTCCATCTCCACGCGCTGCCGTCTGAGAGGATCATCTGTTGTGCAGCGTAGCAGAAAAGACAAACATGTTCTGGCTTCTTTACGCCTGCACACCTCCAACTTCACGAACCGCATCCTTACTGAAGTGCTTCTAAAAAATCCCAAATGTTTATAAAACAGCTGCATGCTGATGGTTTTCCCAATGAAAATAGTCCCTGTGCTTGTTGGGGACTATTTTCAGCAGCAGATTAATCCACGTCTGGTGCTCCGGTGAGCATTCGTGGCACCAGGACGCCGTCTGTGGGCTTGAGTCACAGTAAACTAATGAGGGGACATGTAAACAATGGACAACATGGAGCCTCGTGGCTCAGAATAACAAACTCTGATTCTTGTGAGGTGAAACTATTTCATGTTGTTCTTTTGGTCTTATCGTGGATTTGATGGTAATAATACTCCCAGAAGGTTTCAGTATCTGCTGTTTTCCAACCCAGAGACTCAGAGGAGCCCGAGTCACCACACAGAAAAAAAAGGAAGCAGAGGATGAAGGAAAAAAAAGAAAAAGAAGAGCGAGAGGAAGAGGAAGAGGGGGATATTGACACTGTAAAACAGCGAGGAGAGGAGGCGAGACTGAGGCAGCAAAATAAAGATCCTGCATCACGCAGCTGCCTTCAAACTTCTTTCTTCACACAGAAGACGAGGCGTCTTCCTCCCTCAGGAGTCGAATTCCTTGCCCTACTTCCACCAAACAGGCCTCGCCTACCACTGCAGACAAATACGTGAATCTGCTGCGACTCCACAGATACAGGATTACTTCACCGACACGACAGCGTGCAAAGAGACCGTGCACGTGCACCTCGCAGCTTTAAAATCACGGCAGTTATGAAAGCTGTGAGCTGAAAGTACGGGCACGTGACAAAAGGGCTGAGACACGGAAGATGATAAGAAAAAACTCAGCGTGGGAAACAGATCTGACCGTGATGCCAGTAAAAGCTGTCTTCATCGCAGTGAGATTCCTCTTTATCTTCAGAAACATCTACTGGCAGGTGGAGGTGCTGTTTACTTCCTCCTTCTAAGGAAATGACTTCACCTGTACGGGAGTTGATACGAGCTGGTTTCCTCCTGAACTGCCTCTCTCCTGGAGGCTGCTAGCTATTCGTTGGCTTTGGTTTGATTGTGCAGCTTCACGTTAGCGCCCGTTCACCTGTTCTCTGTTTCTGTGCTGTTGTAAACAAAGCGAGGAGGAAGACGGTTCTGCAGTACTTTGACACAGAGGCTGTAATCCAGTCCACTTATTACTGACCCCCTCTCTGCACAGGCGTGATGATGCTTTGCATGGTGCGGAGCGCCACAGATGACTCACAGTGTGTACAGATGATGTTTTGGCCTCGTCCCTGCTGTTGTAAGTTTAGAGTCTTTACTTTCAGACCCATCATTAAAGTCTGTTTTTACTCCAGTTTAAACTTAATCTGTTTAATATAATCTTCTTCTATTTGTTCATTTTTACGAATTTAAAAAAATTCCCTTAAATGTTAATCTGCCTTTGCTCCCCTCACTTTGGCTCATCTGTTGCTTTTAAACGTGCTACATAAACAGTAACTGAGTCACATGCCTCACTCCTTCTCTTTATTCCCTCCAACTCTGTGTTCAGACTTAGAGATAATAAAACTGTTTTTCCAAACAAAAACTTTTCCCATTCCTCACTAAACCAGAGGCATGCCCCATTTCTGCTTTAATGTGACCAAACTCTGGCTTCAGGCCACAGACACATACTGCAGGATTTTAGAGTGGATGCAAGAAAAAACACAAAAATAAAACCGTGTCCTTACCACAGCTCCAGCTTCACTCTCCTGCCGTCCAGGAGAATAGTGGTGGTTTTGTAGTCGATACCTGGACAAAAAGAGAGCGAGAGATGGGCATTAGGGAGATGGAAGCACAGAAAACGATAAAAATCAATCAAGTACAAAACTCAGTCAGAGAGAGGCTGGAGGAAGTGACTCATCATCACCATGAACACTTGAAACACGACGCAGACGACCGTGACGTTCTTTAAAAATGTTTAGGAATGATAACAAACACAACGCCGCTCTTTCATTGCTCTGATTGTAAATCTAAACAGTGTATTTCATATGGCTTCAGCTGCATAACAGAAAATATCAACTCCTAAATGAGTCATTATAATAATAATATAATCAGGTGGCAGTTTAACGCGTTGCTGAGCTGCCGAGAGGATCAGAAAAGTCATTAAAACCATTAACGTTGGGACTGAAAGCTTCACCTGATCCTTCAGCTGAGTTTACGTTACACCTCCATCCGTCCATCACAAAATGCTGTGACAAACTTTTGCGTGTGACCTGTAACGAGCCTTTACACGCCGCGTTTACCGTTTAGCCATTGTGATGGAGGCGGACTGTGGCGTGGCGCCACACACAGCTAACAGCTCGTTAGCTCTGCTCTGACAAACCTGTCAGACCGCTACACCTGCCGCCCCACCGCGCCACGTCTGGACACGTTCCTGAGGTTTGCACCGAGCCTGCTTCCACCTGAGGCCTCACAGGTGAGCCACTGAATAATCCGATTCTCACCTCTGATAAGATGTTTATCTTTTCGCTCAACAGGTTCTCGTGTCACTAAATGGTTTTTGTGTTTTTATCCTGGAGTCTAATTAGCTTTGCATGAGTCACAGTTTAAAATAATCCTGACTAAAGACTGACCACAGACTGTGGACTGGGATCAGGGATTTTCCTGACTGTGGATCTATAAGGTTTATTTGATAATGACAGTTCTCACTTCAGAGACGGCCACCAAACCTGTCCTGGAAGAAGTTATTTGTGTTTGTTATGTTCAGCCTTTAAAAAGCAGAAGCACACAAACGGGTGGAGCTCTGATAAGAAGGATGAACACTGTAAACAAGGACTCTGTTTCTCAGTAAAACTCATGAAATCCTCATGAAAGTTCTTCACTGCACCACAGAAACATGTAAAAAGTATTCACACAGACGAGTCCTGCGTTACGTTCCCACAGTTTCACTTTTCCTCGCTGCCCTTTAAGGCGAAGCTCAGCGAATCACAGCCATTATTAACACTAATGAAAGAGACAATAGCTCTATCAAATGTTACTGTGTCAGCCTCCGGCGGCTAGCAGGACCACGTTACTAAGATCTTCCAATTTTCCTGGCAACATCAAGCTGCTGCCGGGCTAAAGTGCTGAGCTCAGCCTGGCCTAATTGAATCGGAGCGAGTGCAGGGCTTCGTAGCGAGCGCTTCCTTTCCCCTCATATCCAGGGCGCACTCAGGACATCCCAGATAATCAATAGCTTCTCTAATGTCTCAGCTGAAAACTGCTTCTATTCTGGGAACGGACTCACTTTGTGGGAGAGACGTGTGAAGCTTCAGGCTTTCAGCTTTTGCTCAGACCGCGTCGAAGAGGCTTCAACGTGGTCGCAAATTAGAGCGCCTCATCTAAAGCGCAGCGCGGTTAAACTCTTTCCACCAGAAACTAAACACAACATGCTGCACAGACTGCTCCTGTCTCATTCACAAGTCCAGCACAATGAAAATGCAGTTTGGTGCATCGTATTTCAGTTTAATGCGCACTTCCATCTGTCATTTAGAAAACCGCCTGCAGACATATCGCATTACCAGCACTGACCGTACTGCAGGAAAAACACTGATGGACCAGCTGCGCAGTTCATCAGCTGCTTTCACCTGAACCTTCTTCCTTTTTACACCATCACAGAGTGATCATAAATACTGCATCTGCCAGCAGGGACCCGTTCCCTCCAGCCGTCATCCGAGGAATCGTGCCACAGGACGAAGCTGCCTGTTGGCGCTCAGCAGCATCACGGAGACCCTCCCTCAGTTCGTGTGTGTGTTTGGAGATGGGTACACTTCAGCCTCTTTAAGCCAAATTAAATGTTTCACGGCAACAGCTGTAGGTGATAAAACGCTGGCTGTGACGGGGGTCCTCTCCTCCACTTGATCCCTTCACTTCCAGCCAGTTTGAAAAACAGAAGTTTCCCAGAAACAACAACAGTGAGAATAAAAAAAGTCCACTGTGGACTGAAGCTGGTGGAGTCTGCTCTGCTGGCTCAGTGGGAGCTCGGTGTAGCAGCACATAAACCACTTCTCCACCTGCTAGTTGGAGATTCTCTCCATCTTACAGATCAGGACTGCCCTCGCCAGCTGCAGTCGATGCCCGTCCTATTACAGGACCGGGAACTAATTAACACGGAGGACCACCACGGCAGCAGCACGCACTGAAGAACAGACGCCCACCCTGGTATATATCATAACTGTTTCCACCATCAGAGAGGAAACAGCTTTGAAGTTTCGGACCAACTTCTTAGAGAAGGAAGCAGTTTTTGCATTAAAAAACAAAAACAACAAAAAATCCACTCAGGACTGTTGCTAGCCAATCAGATGATAGATTAAATGTTTGTTGCTGCCCTGCTGTCAGGCCAGCTCCTAAACAGTCTGTAAAAGAGGAAGCAGCCCCATTTGATGAGAGGAAGATCAAAAGAATTCAAAGAGCTTCATTAAATATGGAGTGCAGAGTGGATCGCAGCTTCGATGGGGATGTTTGTGCCGACGGAAGCGCCGCTATTGATTTCCATCCCTCTGGCAAAGGCAGGCTAGAGTGCCTGCGAGGACCCTGAATATTTCAGAAGGGAAAATCAGGACAGAAGGACAGATTTTGATTGGATAACGCTGTCCTCAGGCTGTGATTAGCTGGCTGTCGGGTTTGGGGGTGCCAGCTGGATAGACCGGTCTGTCACATTTCCTGCTCTGTCATTAGTTTGTGTGCTTTATCGATCACAAATCAGACGTCCATCAACAGCACAGAAGATACAAAGACGTGTCTGCGATGCACGAGAAGACGGCGACTGTTTTCATTATCAGACCGATTACAGATCGAACACTTAAACCCACGTTTCATCCATACCTCAACCTTCTTCTCTGGTGAGGGTAACTGGAGTTCACAAATCTATGCATGTGTTCATGCCGAGGGTCTCTACAAACAATCCTTATGAACTGAATGATAACAAGGAATAATAAGGAATTAGGGTTTAACCTTTTTTTAAACTTATTCTAGTTTAAACAAAGCAGAAGACAGAAGGTCACAACAGTGACGAGCACATTAAAACCAGATCTGGGAATTTCCAAACATCTGGGGAGAAATGAAGTAAATCTTTTTATTCTGGATGTCATTAGTCTAATTTCTTTGAACTATATCCCAGTGATGCTGGAAGAACTGCGTTTAAGCCAGAAGGAGGAGGCTGTTCCAGCGGTTAGGAGCCTCAAAAGCAGCTCAACGAGTTAACCTGATGATCAGACTGCTGGAACACGGTCTCAGAGTCTGCTTTGCAGGCTCGAGCCGTGTCGGGTAATTAACGACATTTTAAAATGATTTCACTTTGAGGCGATAAAGAGAAGCAAAACATGGCTGACGTTAGCTCTAGTTAGCGGCACAGCTGCTGTGCATTAATAATTTCTAAGAGGATTTCAAATAATTTCCCCTGATCTGAGATATGCTTCATGGCAGCCATCTGATAACAGCAGGCTTTAGCAGAGAAGACAATTAAAATAAGCTGAAAAGACATCTCAGTGCATCAGTTAGACAAATGAGGCTCTTAAACCTTTCTTATTTCAGTGCACAACAATGAAAAATCCCCCAAGGACTCGACCAAGCTCAGCCCTCCATTGTGTTGTTATTATGATGGACTGGCTCACTTGACAGCATCACCGCTGCTGCTTGCAGGCCGGCTCATTCTCTTCCTCCTTATCTTCTAAAGTGACGGCGGGTTTAGTGCGAGGAACAAAGAACTGGAAGGTAAATGAAAAGTTGAAGCTAACAGACTGACACAGACTCACTCTCACCGGGTAATTAGTCATAATTAATGTTCGTTTCCATCTAAAGCTTTAAAGCATTTTGATGGTCGTGATTTTTTAAATGTAAAAGTTTGTCACTTTTTTTTTTAAAGGTGGTTTAAAGCTTTTATAGCACCTATATTAACAGAACACGCTGTCCTCAGCTGGATTCGTACTAGTTTACTCCTCCAGTCACCATCTGCTCCACTCTGTGTGCGAGGAGGTGCACTCGCAGTGAGACAGAGCAGTGAAACTAATGAGGCCAAAAATAACAACAGGGATACTCTCACACTGAGATGAGTGCATTTTTCACTTTACTTGTTATCATTTATTTCATTAATAAACATCAAGTTGACTCTAATGACAAAAACATGACTCCCATTTTTTTCTTCTTCTGACTGTGAAATACCAGCTTACTGAATGTACCCTGGTATTGAATTGGTGTCTGCAGATACTGAAGCAAAGCCACTGGCATCGGAAACAGAATAAATTGGATCAGTGCACCAACTATGCATACGCCCCAGGTGGCGCTCTTCAAATAAGGATAACAGGAATGACTGCTCAGCCCTCAGCTGACCATGTCCACAAAAAGTATAATACCTTGATTACAGACGGACAGCTGGAGACCCGACAGCTGAGCGCTCCTTCCCGCTATACTTCTTAAAGACCACCGGTTGGGTCACGTGAATAGTTGGTAAAAGTCTGCGTGGCTACAAATAACAGCCAGGCACGCGCACGGTCACCGTCTGATTCAGGTCCCAAAGTCAAATGAACACTGCAGCATCACTGAGAGTTAAAAACGGTCTAAATTCTTTCATCTGTAATAAAATGATCAGCGTTGCTGCTTTACCAGGTGTAAC